GTGGTCCTCGCCGATAGGCGCGTAGGCCCCCTGCGCCTGCTGCCATGGAAGTGCGGATCCACTCCTTGAACCCCTGACCGCGGATGGCGGCAAAGGCGGCGCCCTCCGCCTCTGCCGCAGCCCTGGCCTCGGCAGCCCAATCGGCCAGGGGCAACAGGTCGGGGCAATCGGCCGCCAGGGCAACGCGTGCCGCCCACTGCGCCCCCAGCGGGAAGCCCTCCATGGTCGGGGGCCTCGGTGCTGATGCGCCTGCGCGCGCCTCTCGGCCGCCTGCGCTGCCGCCGCCGCAGCTGCCGTCGCCCCCGTCGTCGCTGGAATCCGACGGGAGGTCGCCGTGGTAGCGCATGAAATTCTTGACGGCCTGTGTGTAGCTGTAGTGCTCGACGTCCGCGATAGCCCACGCGTCGGGGGAGCTGGATTCAAGGGCGGCCACGCTGCGGCGGCACTCGCTCCTCACCAGGCTGCGCGCCTGACCAGCTCCCCTCGCAGAGCTCCACAGCCCTGCCCCAGCGTGCCGCCGCGCGGCCCATGAAAGGCTGATCCGTGCAGGTGCCGACCGCGCCATCGCTGCCCGTGCTGCAGCTGGCCGTGGGCGCTGCCGTCGAAGCCGGCGCTGCCTGCCCCGCGCTGGCGGCGGCTGGGCATCCCCCACCTGCTGCCGCCAGCGCAGCAAAGGAGCCTGGAAGGGGGGTGGACTGGGATCGAGCTGACCCCCTCAGCAGATGCTGTTCCCCCTGCCGCCCTTGCGTCTGCGCCGCTGGGGGCCTACACGGCGTTCGCGTCGGCGGTGCCATCGCCCTCGCGCTGGCTGGTGCGTGCGAACGCGTAGCGCGTGCACAGCTCCATCCACTCTGCCACGTCGAGTTCAGGCTCGGGCGCGTGCAAGTGCGGGAGCCAGCCTTGGGCGAGGCGCTGGGGGGTCCTCCGAACCCCTTGCACGCCCACCTCGATGGCGCCCCAGTCGCCGACGGCTGCCGCTCGCTCGAGAGCGGCGCACAGGACTGGGGGCTGTGGCGCCCCACGTAGGTCACCACTCAGGTTGGGTTGCGGCGTCGACCGCGGATCACCACTCAGATTACCGCCGCCGCCCAAGTGCGGCCCCCAATCCGTAGGAAGCCTGGTCGAAACATCGAAGGTGATGGGGGCGCCAGGGAGGGGCCTGCTGTAGTCGCCGCGCTCCTCCAACCACCGTGTCGATTCCACGTAGTTGTCGACCGTTCGGCGGTACTCCCCCTCCCCCGCCTTCGGGATGTAGGTGGCCGACCTGCCGAAGGATACGAACCAGTTCTCGCCTGCCAGGACCCCCGCGCCGCCACGCCGAAGAGCAGACCTCTCTCGCGGTACGCATGCGGTTCTCGATATCCTGCGCCAGGCCCGCGGCAACGCGTGTCGGCATGCCTAGCAAGCGGAAGATGTACGGCACGCACGTCTGCACCCACTCGGCCTCGTCCTCGCAGTAGTTGAGGCTGCTCGGGTTGGCGACCCGGCGTCGCGCTCGACGCCCCAACACGCGCATGTAGCGCTTGGTGGCCCTGGCCTGCATGCGCTCGGCCCCGCGACGCTCGGGGCCCAGCTGGAGGCGCTCCTCAGACGCAGCCTCAACTGGGCGAAGTAATCGCTCAGGTGCATGAGCTTCCCCCCCTCGAGGCTGGCCTTGGGGCCCTCTATGGGGCGCGCCCTCGCCTGGGAGCCGAAAGCGAACTGCGGCGGGCCCCCCCCCCCGCCCCCGATAGAAGTCGGCGTCGCCGGGGTCGATCTGGCAAGCCCGCACGAGCTCCTCCTCTACGCTCTCGCAGAGCCCCTGGCTTGCCTCCCCCATGTCCTGCAGGGCCCCGCTCGTGTCGACCTGGGCCCGAACAGAGCTGCGGTCCCAGCGCTTCCCCTGCATGGGCCCACAAGGGCAGACCTTGGCGAAAGCCATCGGCCCCTTGGCCCTGACAACTGGCCCAAGTCGCCGTAGCAGGTACGGCCGAGCTGCACTGCCATGCGTGGGCGGCAAGGGTTGGCGCACACCTGCGCAGCCATGTCCAGGCGCTTGCAGGCTTGCACTCGGTCGAACATATCGGAGCTGACGATGAACCGATCGAGGCCCGAGGGCCCCTCGGTCGGGGGGCGCTGGCAGGCGCCCGCGCCCGCGTCGACCACGCGTCCGCCAACGTTGCTCAGCCAATGCCCCGCACGTTGAAGGAAACGCTCGGGCTCCACGCCCCAGTCGCCTGGGATGACCCACGGCCCCCCCGTGCGCTTGAGGAGGGAGCCGACCTCCTGCAGTACACTGGCTGGCCTCGCCGACGTCGTCGTTGCCCAGGTATACGGGGCCCAACGGAAACCCACCAGATACCGCTCCATTGACATAGGCTACCGTGGCCCTGCCGTCAGAGACACGGCAGCTCGCCTTGCAACCCTGCACGCCCGGGCCGCACACACCGCGGGCAGAGCGAACTGCGACCCCAGTGCCACCGCGCACCGCGCGCTGCTGCGATGCCCCCACGGAACCCACGCCCGGGGTCAGCACCGTGCTCCAGCCGACCCGCCTGCACCACTGCTCCTGCTCGACAACTCTGCAGCCGTCGAGGCGGTGCTCCTGGAAGCAGATCGCATCGCTCATGTGCGCGTCGGCGACCACCTGCTGCTGCGGGCCCTGCTGCTCTCCGAGGATGGTCGCGAAAGGGCCCCAACCGCTGCCGTCGGGGCTGGCCACCGTGAATATGGGTTTGCTACCCACGCCCCCCCCCCCACCACCACCACCCCCCCCCCCCCACCCCACCCCACCCACCCCCACCCCACCCACCCCACCCCACCCCACCCCACCCCACCCCACCCCCACCCACCCACCCACCCACCCACCCCACCCCCACCCCACCCCCCTCCGCTCGAGCCCCGCCGAGCGGAGGCTCTGGAGAAGCTTCTGCGCGCGAAGCCTGCGCCTCTGGGCTGCCCGGGCTGCTGGGTCACCGCGTCGAGCCCCTTCGTCGCCGCTGACAGCGCCCGCTGTCGCGCTGTCCTCCTCCGCGGGAACCTCGACCTATTCGACCTCCTCCTCCTCCATGCTGTCCATGATGTTGCGGAGGTCAGTCTCCTCGAGTTCTCCTTCGCCGCTGTCGCGTTCTGCTGCCGCACATGCCGCTGCCACGCTGTGCGCCAGCCGACGAAGCTGGGAGACTTGCCGTCCCCGTTGCTGCGCGTGCCCTGTTGGGCATGCCAGAAGCCTGGCCCAAAGCTTCCAAGAAGGCTTCGGCGCGTTCGCCCTCGCTGAGCAAGGACGCTGGGGACCGAGGCGCTGCTGCAGCGGCGCCCATCCCCAACGCTCCTTCTCCGAGTGAACCTTCACGCTCATGTTTGTACTTGGCCAAGAGGTTGTCGATGAGCGCCCGGGGCTCCTCCTCCGCAGCCTTGCTCTGCTCGCGTTAACCCTCCAGCTCGAGCTTCTGCGCCTCGAGGCCCGAAATCTCCCGCGCGGTGTCCTCGATATTCCTGGCCAGCGCCACCGAGGTGCTCTGCTGGTTCCGCTGCTTGCGCCCGGGCTCGCTGAGCCGCACGGACGCGGGCTTCTCCTCGGCGAGCTCATGTTCCAGCTGCTGCGCCTCCTGCCTCTTGCCAGCCAGCATTTCAGCCGCGCCCTCAACTCCTTCGAGCTTTCTGACTTCACTCCGAAACTTCCCAAGGCGCCGTACCCTCTCGTCCTTCGGGGCGGACAGGGCTGCAGATGCTGCGCCCCCATCACTTCCTGAAGCTGCGAGAAGATCCCATCCGAGCTTTTTGACCTTCCGCCGCAACTGGTTGAGCTCGCGTCGTTCTTTGGCGCCCAGATGAGACACCCCACTCCACCACGAGCTCGCGCCGGACCCTTGCCCCCACCAAACAAATCCGCAGCTGCGACAGAGGCGCCCGGTGCCCTAGTTTTTTCTCGGCACCGCACTCGGGACAATCCCAGGCTTTGGGCTGGCTGCCTCCACCGCTGCTGCTGCCCCCCACTCAGCCTGGCTGACTACCTCCTCGTCCGCCTCTGCCGCCTTTGCCGCCACCGCCACGCGCGGCCCCCCGAGCACCGCCACCACGTCCTGCCATTGGTCGAGCCAGCCGACGCTGGGCCCCCTATCGGGCGGCCGGGGGCGGCCGCGAAGGCCTCTCTGAAAGCTTGGTTGATTTGGAATCTGACCCAAGAAGTGACGCGACGGCTGGAACCGGCCACACGAGACAAGATATCTGCCCTGATCGCATCATCTTGAGCCAAAATGGCTACGGATAGCGATGATGATGCTAATGCCGATGATGCTGATGATTAGTAGTACGATGATGGTGATGATGATGACGGTTATGAAAACTGTGCTGATCATGATGATGATGACGACGGCGATGGCGATGGTGACGACGACGGCCATGATGAGGACGATGGCGATGAAGATGACGGTGACAAGTATGATGATGATAATGATGATGTTGGTTACGATAATGATGCTGATTAGTAGTAGTAGTAGTAGTAGTAGTATGAACAAGATAGCGATGCTGATTCTGATGATGATGGCGACGATGACGACGATGGCGATGACTGCATCTTCTCTCCCCCCCTCGCCGAGGCAATTGACGCGATCGGAGCAGGTCGAGAGCAGTCACCTCGCAGCCGCTGCTCGGATCCAGGCCAGCAGCAGAAGACGAGGCTATCAGGCAAACAGACTTCCTTGGGAGCGGTGGCAGTCCAATGCTACTGCACAGACGACTGCTTAAAATATCCTCTCGTTCCCCGAAGTAGCGTGCAAGAGCATCGAACGATGTCATCACGTCAGAAGCCTGGCAAGGTCTGCGAGGCAACAAATTGATGACGTTGCTTTCCTTGCTCAGGCCTTGCGGGAGAAGACCGCCGAGGCGCGCGAACGATGCCGCGCCAGAGGGCGCAGCTCCAGAGGCGAGGGACTCGGCTGGCATTGGAACGACAGGGGCCTCAGAGCTCCTATCATCGAGCTCGTCGTCCTCGCCACGAGCCTTCTTCCGAGGCGGGGACATCATATAATGAACTTCGCGATGAGGAGCGGCAGCACCTTCACGACGAAGAGCGGCAGCACCTTCACGATGGCGCGCGGCACCACCTTCACGATGAGGAGCGGCAGCACCTTCACGGTGAGGAGCGGCACCGCCATGTCAAGGAGCAGCACCTTCACGACGAGCGGCACTTTCACAATGGGGAGCGCCACCTTCACAATGGGGAGCGCCACCTTCACGATGAGGAGCGGCAGCACCTTCACGATGAGGAGCGGCACCATCTTCACGATGAGGAGCGGCAGCACCATTACAACGGGGAGCGGCAGCACCTTCACGATGAGGAGCGGCACTATCTTCACGACGAGGAGCAGTAGCACCATCACAACGGGGAGCGGCAGCACCTTCACGATGAGGATCGGCAACGCCTTCACGAGGATGAGTGGCGTCTTCACGATGAGGAACGGCATCTTCACGATATGAAACGATACCTGAACGCTGAGGAGCGGCACCTGCACGATGAGGACCGCCACCTTCACGATGAGGAGCGGCACCTTCACGATGAGGAGCGGCACCATCACCTTCACGACGAGGATCGGCACCTTCACGGTGAGGAAAGAAGAGCACCAGCACCACCAGGGCGAAGGACAGGATACTCAGGAAGATCAGCCCCACCGCGTTGATCAGCGTGAACGGCTTGGTCACCCCCAGAAGCAGGAAGGCTACGAACACCAGCAGCTTCAGGAAAGTCATGACGACCACGTTCATGAGCACCTGCATGAACTCGAGCGGCATTCGCCGGCGGAGGACCCCGAACACCGAGCGCAGCAAGAACCCGAACAGCAGGCTCAGCAGCTCCAGGACGATCATCTTGAAGAATTCGCCGAACCGATATCGATATGTGTGATTCGTCAGCCGACGAACAATGGCCATGATCAACCACCACTGCATCTGGAAGAGACCTCAGGACCGAAGAAACCAGCACAATGGCGAAGGAGTTGAGCATGAGAGGGTCGTAGACAGGCAGCAACACAACTTTGAAGATCACCTTGTCGCGGTGCGAGTTCGCACGAAGCCTGCACTGCCTGCCAAGGGCCAGCTGCTCAGAGAGCCAGCGCAGCCGCGCGGCGCACACCATCAGCGCCAGGAGAAGAAAGGGCCGCGGGCAAGCGAGGAGAGCAGGCGAGGGGGCCGCAGGCGCGGCCCAGTGGCCCCTGGCACCAGCAAATTCTAGACCCACAATGGCTATGATGATGATGATGATGATGATGATGATGGTGATGATGATGATGATGGTGATGATGATGATGATGATGGCGATAATGGTGGTGATGGTGATGGTGATGGTGACGGTGACGGTGATGGTGATGGTGATGGTGATGGTGATAGTGATGGTGATGGTGATGATGATGATGATGATGATGGTGATGACGACGATGATGATGATGATAATGATCATGATGATGACGACGCCGATGGTGATGATGGTCATGATGGTCATGATGATGATGATGATGATGATGATGATGATGATGATGGTGATGATGATGATCATGATGATGATGATGATGATGATGATGATGATGATGATGATGATGGTGGTGGTGGTGGTGATGGTGATGATGGTGGTGGTGGTTATAGTGATGGTGACGGGAGGAGGGAGGAGAGGAAGGAGGAGGAGAGGAGAGGAGAGGAACGTGGGGCGCTGGCCCTTCAAAACGAGGACCCAACACCACAGGGAGGTTCGGTAAAAAACAGCAATTCTACGCAGAGATCCCCATATGCGCATATAATGTCCTGGCACGCCCCGTGAGAGTACGACGAGTACGACGACATGCGCATAGCATAAGCCCATATGCGCATATCATCCCCAGTGGACGACGGGTACGACGAGTACGACGATGGCGGCGACGACGACGACGACGACGACGCCGACGACGACGACGGCGGCGGCGGCGGGTACGATGCGGGACAGCGACGACAACTCACAGACAGGCAGGCGGTAAATTAGCTCCCTCCCCTCTCATTCCTCCTACTACTCATCGTGCCCCATCCCCTCTCGTCCTCCCTTCTCCATTCTCCCTCTTCCTGCGTTCTCCTCCTTCCTCATCCGTCCTCCCTCCTTTGTCCTGGCGGTCGTCCTTCTCTCTACATCGAAATGATCATGGGGCTCTGAGTGGGCAGGAGTCGGAGGTGTAAAATCAAGAGCCTCACTCGATACATCCCCGCGTTCTGTCTACCTGGTTACCAGGGGTGCTCAAGCCAGCGCTTCGCTCGAGGCATCCTCGCCATCGAAGGCAACGAAGGCCAAGCCACCAAACAGGCAAACCGCCTGAGACATCCCCACCATCTGGGCGCGAACGGGCAAATGTCTCACCCTTGGGTGCTGGATCCAGCGCTTCGCTCAAGAAATCCTCACAGTCTGACCTGAAAGCTGGGAAACCCTAGCCACCAAACACGCACACCGCCTAAGATACACCCACACTCTGGACGCGAACGGGCGCTTGTCCCCACCGCTGGCGGCTACCCCTAGGGATGCTGAAACCAGCACCTCGCTCGAGGAATCCTCACAGGTCAAGTGTGAGGCGAGCCTGAGTGTGAGTGGTCTGTGTGGGTCAGCCAGAGTGTGAGTGTGTCTAAGTGTGAGTGGCCCTGAGTGTAATTGTCTGGGTGTGTCTCGCTGTGAGTGTATCTGAGTATGACCCTCCCCACGCAGCACTTGAGGATGGTGATTCTGGCGCGCCGTTGACGGCAACACCACTTCGCTCTCCCTCCAGGACTTCACCCCCGGCTCCTGTCCAAGGTGTACCTTTTCCTGTGCAAGCTCTTCGGCACCGCCTGTACTCCGCACCCTCCGACCGCCTGAGGCCCCGCCCGCCCGCGCCCTGTCTCCCCAATTAGAGCTTCGCGCGCCCCGCCTAGCTCTTAACCAGAAGAGGCCCGCTCTCGACCCGCCGACCAAAAAAGTGTATCTGAGTATGAGTGCATCTGAGTGTGAGCGCATCGGAGTGTGAGTTCATCTTACTAGGAATGAGCCTGAGTGTTGAGTATGAGTGTGAGCGCATGTGAATGTGAGTGCATCTGAGTAAGAGTGACCTGAATGCGATGGAAGAGAAGGTAGAGAGAAAGAGAGAGGCGGTAATCGAGTTATCCTGGCAAAGGACCCAACCATATGTAGTTGCGGGCATCGTCGTGGAGGCCCCCCCTGGGGCCACGAAACGGTGTGCCGAAATGGGTGGGGAGGCCGCATGCGAATATGGCCACTGGGGCCTTCGGTGAGCTCCATTTGGGGCGACTAACTATGTAAGGGGTGTGCCGTAACGGGTGGGGAGACGCATGCGAACGGTTTCGCTTGGGCGTTTCGGTTGAGCTCCCTATGGCGCCACGAAACGTGTGAGCGGTGTGCCGAAATGGCCGGGGGAAAACGCACGTGGACACAGCCACTGGGGCATTCGGTGGAATTCCATATAAACAGTGTGAGGGGTGTTCCGAAATGGGTGGGGGGACGGATGCGAACGGTGCCACTGGGACCATCGGTGCGGCTCCCTATAAGCCCCCGAACCGTGTGAGGGGCGTGCCGAAACTGGTGGGGGGGACGCATGCGAACGGTGCCACTGCGACCTTGGGTGGGCCTCCCTATGGCGCCACGAAACGTGTGAGCGATGTGCCGACATGCGTGGCGATGATAATGATGATGACGGCGATGATGACGATGATGGTGATGGTGACGGCGATGATGATGACGCTGATGGTGATGGTGACGGCGATGATGAAGACGATGATGGTAATGGTGACGGCGATTATGATGATGATGATGATGATGATGATGATGATGATGATGATGATGATGATGATGATGATGATGATGATGATGATGATGATGATGCGGATGCTGCTGATGATGATGGAGGAAGAAGGGGGAGGAGGGGGAGGAGGAGGAGACGAGGAGAACGCGGGGTGCTCTCTTCAAAACGAGGACCCAAACACCACAGGGTTGGGAGAAAATATTAGCCTGGCGAAAGGCCCAACCATATGCAGTTGTGAGTAATGCAGTTGTCAATATCGTCTTCGGTGGAGCTCCCTGTGGGGCCACGAAACGTGTGATGGGTGTGCCGAAATGAGCGCGATAGCGCCATGCGAGCGCAGCCACTGGGGCCTCCGGAGGAGCTCCTTATCATAAGGTCACGAAGCGTGTGAGGGTGTGCGGACATGGGTGCCGTGGTGCCATGCGAACGCAGCCACTGGGGCCTTCGGTGGAGCTCCCTGTGGGGCCACGAAACGTGTGAGGGGTGTGCCGAAATTGGCGCGGTGGTGCCATGCAAAGGCAGCCACTGGAGCCCTCGGTGGAGCTCTCTATGGGGCCACGAAACGTGTGATGGGTGTGCCGAAATGGGCGCGATGGTGCCATGCGAGCGCAGCCACTGGAGCCTTCGGTGGAACTCCCTATGGGGCCACGAAACCTGTGGGGGGGGGGGGGGGCCGACATGGGCGCGGTGGTGCCATGCGAGCGCAGCCACTGGGGCCCTCGGTGGAGATCCCTATGCGGCCACGAAAAAGTGTAAGGGGTGTGCCGCCATGGATGCGTGGCAGGCGGCGGGAGGAGGGAAGCGGGTCGTTCTCTCTTCAAAGCGAGGACCCAACACTCACCACAGGATGGTTGGGAACAAAGAAATCAGGAAGGGAAGTGGGGGGGAGCGAGGAAATCGAGGCGTCCAAGGCATAACGAGAACCGCACACTTCGGATCTGGGAAACACAACACATGAAAACTCCGTCCTCTGGCGCGGCCGAACCGACTCCTTTCCTTAGCTGCCCCGATACGCAACACGCAGCAGCTAGCGTATTGATACGGAGCTCAACACGTAGACTGGAAACGTTCCGCCAAAACACGGGCCCAGAGGTTGAGCCAACACGTAGCGTATCAAAACAGGCGTATCGAGGCAGCTAAGCTCCTTTCGTTTCGATCCCCGCCCGTGACGAGTCCCTCGCCCTCGAGGCCCCCGCAGTCGGGCCGCCTGTCCACCGTCGTGGAGCGAGGCGCAGGTGTCGTCACTGGCGATACTGGGTGTCCCACTGTTGTCACTGCTGTCGTCACCGCGCACAGCCATCGTGCTACCACAGTGAACGCTGACACAGACATGCTCGCGTCGTGACAAAAGCACGGCGAGAGGTTGTTGGCCATTTCTGGCCTGAGGGGGCCCTCTCCAGGACTCGGGACCGTCAAAAAACAACTCCAGATGAAAAGCCGGTCATGGGGAAAGGTTCGGGACTTCTGGGGGCCCCGTATTGAAATCATGACATCGACTGTCTGGGAACGCTGACTAAGAAAACACAGAAAAAACTGTTCTAGCCACGACGAGCCTCGGCCACGAGTAGGTTACCGGGCCTAGATCGGTAAGGACCAGACTGAAACCTAGAGCCCCTCCTGAGCCCAAAGTGGTCCTCATTTCGCCGTCTCGACAGAAGATTGGGTCGGAGGATCGTGCCGCATCGCCAACGCATCGGCGATGCCTCGGCACCGTTGGCGTGGAGATAATCGGGTTCCACATCGAGCCGCATCGCCGATGCGTCGGCGATGCGGCGTGATCAGCCGACCCCATCTGCTCGGACACCACAAGAAGGCAAGGTAGTCAAAGAAAGAGTCGGCTTGCCAGGGGTCGGTCAAGCCGCCCCCTGAGATCCTCGATAGGCGACGACGTCCACGACCAGGAGTGGGGCAGCAAAAAAAACAATGTCAATGACACGACGCCGTGGGGCACCCATCAGCGCGCTAATGTTTATGAAGCACGAGGTCTTTGGACAAAAACGAAGGGACAACACGCCCACGTGCTCCCAGCGGCGGCGTGTCCTCGCTATTCTCTCTTCCCTTCCCGCGCGACGGCGGGCCCGAAAAATCACAAAACGGACGGGCCACACGAGCGCTGGGGACGGCCCCGCGCAACCAGCCGCCGAGGGCCCCCGGGTCGCCGCCCAGGGCCGCCAGGGCCGCCGGAGGACCACCGAGGGCCGCCGAGAGCCGCTACGGGGCTGCCAAAGGCCGCCGAGAGCAGCCAGCCGCACGGCGCCGCCACGCGCCGGGCCGGCACACCCCGCGCGCAGGGCGGCGGCGGGCCTCGACGCGGTCTGCCCAGCGGGCTGCCCCGCGGGCGCCCACGCCGCGCTGGGCCGGCATAGAAGCGCGCCTCTCGGCAGCCAAACGTCGTCGCCGCCGTCGCCACCGCCGCCGCCGTTGCGTCGTCGTCGTCGTCGTCGCCGTCGTCGTCGTCGCGGGAGCTGCCGTCGTCAGCGGGAGCCGCCGTCGTCGTCGCCGTCGTCGACGCCATCGTCATCCCCAAGACCCGATGTGGCGACATGCGTTTCTTAGAAGCAGCTGCTTCGCGCGCACACCCACGCGGCAGCGCCGTTCTGCAAAATCAAAAATGATACTGGACGGAACACTGTATGGATTTGAACACGTGGGCACGATGACGCCGCACCACGCGCAACACCCGGCAATCTGCACAGACCCACGCAATCCCATGCAGCTCGTTTGAACCTGCTCATAAGCCGCCTTGTATGCGGCGATAGAATGGCCGTAGAGCCAAACAACACCGCGATGCATCAGGCCTGGGCTCGCCTTTGAAGGCGGCCGGGCCGAGCTCCTGTAGAGTAAAATAATCCAACCAGCCCTCTGGGCGTAGGGGGTTTAACGACTGTTGTCTTGTCCCTGCCAAAACCCCCTCCTTCTCCGACTCGGGGGAAGGATTCAACCCCCCCCCACCCCCCACCCCTGGGCCCAGAAGGGGCGCCCCGCGAGAGGTGAGAGCGTCCAAGATGGTTCTAGATGACCCCATGAGGGCCTCTGAGAGCGCAAGATGGCCTCCAAGATGGCTCCAGATACTTCAAAAGTGTTCAACATTGCCTCCGACTAAAAAGGCCTCAAGACGATCTCAACACGGTTTCGACTGCCCTCCGAGCCCGACCCCCCAACAGGCCAAAATGGCTCTAAAACCGAAAAGGAAATCCATATGTGTTGCCTTCTCGCCCGCCCGCTTCCGACGCGCCCACGAGGCCCGAAGTTGGCTCCGAAACGGCCCAGGAGAGCCCCAAGAGCACCCAGAGCGCCCCAAGAGCGCCTCAAGAAGGCCTCAACACAGGATGTTTGAGCACCCCAGTCTAGACTGCTGAGAGCCTTGCCGAGACTCCGGCGCTTAGCAGGAACACCCGACTTCGCTACGCGCGCGAAGGTGCCCCTGATCTCCTCGGGAACAGATGACCCGTCCGATAGAGGGCGCATGCTTTCCAAGGCGGCCCCTCGCAATCAAGTTCGTTGCAGTTGTCATCATTGGCACGCGCGCGACAACATTGATTCGGGTTTTCATCGGCGCCAGGCCCCCCCGCCGCAAACGCATTCCCCCCGCCGTTCACGGCGGGGGGGGGGGCCCGCAGGCACCCGCCACCACGGACTGAGCAGCTTCCTCACAAAACCCCGTCACCGCAAATACCTATGCTTGCGGCCGCGGTGATTTCCCACCTTTTTCGGTTGACCACCCCCCTCCTCCAAGTCGGGCGTTCAGGAAGCCCCTGGCATCTATCATAAGGACATTGGTACGTCCTATTCGGGCCACCCCGCTCCATCCAACGGCGCGCGCCCACGTGGGCCCCAATATCTCGACGGCGTTCTACTTGCGACCAAAAGGGGGCTCCAAATATATGTTCTGCAGGAACCTCCATACCGAAGATACGTAGCCCCATTCTTGAAGGAACTGCCTTAAAATGCCATGGGCCATCTTGACCCTCATCAAATGAGAGGAAGCCAAGACGCACCCACCAGCTTCATTGAGCCGATGCCAGTCCATAACCATGACAATTATCTGCCGCCCTTTGACAAGGCAGTTTCGGGCATTGGCACCCCCCTCACGGGCGTCGACTCGTCAATCGAGGTCATCACGTCGAGGGATTTCGCTGAGGGCCGACGCGAGCGCTGCGTCAAGCGCGTCAAAAGTTACTACGATCAGCAAAATTCCCACGCGCGCGCAATGGACCCACGCCAGCACCCACTCTTTCGACCTCGGACGGTGGCGAGGCATCCGGCGCATTGCGCTGGGCCTCTGGTCACTGAGCCCAAATGTTATTGCACGACGGGCGCGTTACGGTCTGGTCTACTTCGCGAATTCGGCGGCTCTCGCGGCGGCAACGAGGGCATCCCTTCAGGGCGCGGGCCGCGGCGGCGGTGGAACAGCCAATACTTCCCAATCTTAATGCGCCGCAGCATTTCAAGCGCCAGGCCCCCCCGCCGCAACAGCACCGGGTCTCCCTCCCCGACGGAACGGCATCAGCCCTCGCCGAAGCAATAGCATCAGGTCTCCCCGACGCAACATAAGGTAGCGACACCACAACTGCGGGCGAGCGCCACCCACAAGTCTGCAGTCGGCCACTTTCTTGGCCGCTGGCGGGGATGATCTATTTCGTTGCCCAACGGGGGCCCGCCCTGCAGGGCGAACCTTCCGCGCAACTGGGGACGGCTGTCGGGCCGCGGCCGCCAGCTGCACGGCGGTTCCCCGATGGTGTTCATTCACCGTTCGGGCGAGACCCCCCCCGTCATTACCTTTATACGACTTATCTAGAACTTCATGGCGTGTCCTATCCACAGCGGCCACGCGGCAGTCGCGGTCGCTGCGAAACTGGCCACTCAGGTAAGCGCTAACCCTTTCATGCCCTTCAGCTCTGCAACACAGGGACTGAACCTTAATTTGGAGCTCTAGCAGAAGTGTCTCTTGCACCGATATCACATCGCCGACGGCGAGAGATTGCCCATCCGCATTGACCAAGTTCCTTCCTGGAGGAAGGCGAGGGACATCCTCATATCCTGGATGCCGGGCATGAACTCGCCGACTTCGCGTCGAACCTGGGCCCGCGACGCTGCTGCATGATCAAATGGCTGAGTTAACTCGCTGTCGCGGTTCTCTGACAGAATAGCCCTAGCCTCGAGTGCATCACGTCGTCGCACGGGGTTCTTAATACCACGGATTCGCGCCAGAATATGGCGAATTCCCCGCTCAGTCGTTCGCTGGCCACCCCGCGCGCCTGCATGGTAGCAGCAGCCAGAAGCACATGTACTTCTCGAGCCTGAGGGTCCCCAATATGATCACTATGCGCTTGAAAGGCACTTGCGAACCACATGAAGGTTGCTCACAATATGCTGAAATTCGCCCATTGTTGCTGCTGCAACACTCTAGTTTGCTCCGACAACGCCTGCTGTTACATTTCAGCCATTCACTGGCTACGTGCCTGGAGCAGTCGGCATTGTTTCCCCTAGGGCGGCTGCTTGGGACCATCCTCGCAGCCCCGTCTGCTGGCTAGAAAGTCGTGGTTCGGCCAGTCGCGATGGCACTTGTTGAACCTGGTCGAATGGGAAGGGCGCCCCGGTGCTGTCGGGCACCTTCGCTACAGAAGCTTCGTAACCCTGCTTAGCGATACCTGGGTACGCGACGAGCCTTCTCTTCTGACCCCATACGGAATCTCGCCGCGCTTGCGCCAGGCCCCCCAGCCGCGCCCGCGCCAGGTCCCCCCGCCGCTATAGCGCCAGGTCCTCCCGCCGGCCGCAGCAGCGCCATGCCCCTCCGCCGCGCGCGCCCTATCACGGCGGCGAATATGTTGACCCCCACCCGAGGCACGGCCCATTGGCACGACTTGCTCGCACCATCTTGGCTGCGACTTCGCAGCTGCCAGACTCCGAACAAAGGGTTATTTGGAGATGATGGCTTCAAGGTGTGCTTCTAATTCGCCTGTATCTGCCATGCTCAATGCGGCGCTTCGCGCCAGCGGCAACGCTTGCGCCGCTTCGGCTGGGAACCTGGACTGGGCAAAAGAATGGCCGTAGAGCCCAACAACCCCGCGATGCATTGGGCCCCGGCTCGCCTTTGAAGGCGGCCGAATTCTTTGCTCGGCAAAATAATTACCGCCAGAAAGAAGGGAACCAACGACGACGGAAAAGGAGGAGGAGAACGGACGCGCGCGCCGCTTTTCCCCAGACCGCCTCGCGAGCAAAAAGATGCTCGAGGCGAAAACTAAAATCCGAGCCTCATCCTCGGCCCCCAGGGGGGCGGGAAAGGAAAAGCAAGAGACGCCCGAGGGCCCCCGAAACACAGCGGGCTCACCACTCAAAATAAACGCGCGCCATAATCGAATGGTAAGACACACGCCGCAGCAGCGCTTCGCCCAGCGCCGCGCCTGAGCCTCGGCCCTGGGACCCCTCGCCCACCCCGGAAGAAGAAGGGGCGCCGAACTAGCAACAGCCTGCAATGCCGACCCCCGCAAAGGCTCCAAGGAAGGGCCCTGATAAAGCCCGACGACGCCCCCCGGGGGACCTCCAAGAGGCTCCCCGAATCAGTCCGCGGGCGTGCGTTTGGCCTCATCGCTTCACCATATGCTAATCGACTTCCCTCCTCCAGGCGGCTCCCCTGAGCATGGGTGGGCTGGTAGGGTTGCGCGAAGCGCCGGGGATTCTGCGAACGCCGCCGCCGCCGCCGCCGCCCCCACCGCCCCGCCAAGGGCCACCCTTGGACGGGGTCGGAGCGGCCGCTGAATCAACATGCGAAGCGTAGGCTCAGATGGACTTTAGAAGAATAGCAAGAAGAATAGGAGGAAGAAGAAGGAGACAAAACAACAACAGCAATATTAACGACCACCACAACCACAGCCACGACAACAACATCAACGACAACGACAACGACAACGACAACAACAACAACAATCATGTTGCCCTCATGCGCGATGTTTCCACGCGAAGCATGCGACCATCATGATAATCATCCACATCATGGGGGACTCTTGTTCTATAGCGGGGCCCGTTATTCCCATTCCCAGATCTCCCGCCAAATGAGGAGGGAGCAGGAGCAGGCCTTGCCAAGGCGAGCCGCGGGGGCCCGGCAAGTTGGCACCGGGGCGCCAGCCATATGTGAAACAAGGAATACTACGACGGAACAGACACGCGTGGAAGCCATCACTCACATAACAATGTCTCATACGTCGCCCAGCTGGGCGCGCGCGCAGCCGCGGGCATCTCGTTCAGAGTCGTTGCGTGGTCACAAACATGCGCGTTGAAATGTGCCCAGATATCGTCGATCCACCTGTTCTTCTGCCGCCCTTGTCGTCGAAGTGCGCAGCGAGGAAGCACTTGGCCCGGGCGCCGCAGCAAAAC